ATGCAATGAAACAATAAATAAAGTATAGCTTTGAAAGGAGTTTCCCCTTGGTACATGTTTATGTGCAAAATGGCACATTTCTTATATTCATTATCTTTGCTGTTTTGATATAATTGCACTTTGAAAATTTCAATTTTTGTTTTCACACCTTTTAATTTTCGGTTGTTGCAGATGCTGATCTGATTGCAGAGGTATGTGGAATGGAAAGAAAGAGATACATGAACATACAGAGACTGTTTGAATTTAAGGTGTAAGTACATATACATGTATGATATAATTATTAGAAATGACGTATCAGCTTATCAGTGAATGTACAAACATTTATAAGAGTTCTATATTTCAGTTAAGAAAAACAATTTTTTGTCATTTGAGTATATAAGCAAGGCAAATGGACTTGTTAATGTTTGTCAATAGTACATTACTTATCTAACATACTTCTAGAAAATATAATTTTATTGGACTGTTTTCCTCTGTTGTATACACAATTGAATGAATCAGCAGTAACAATAAGACAATTTTATCTTCAGAAGTGGATTTAGAAAGGGGGCAGCAGGCCGCCAACCATTTGGTGGGAAAAATTTGGTTGATTATATAGAGAATCACTGAAACATGACTGGGTCCCCTCTTATGAAAATGTATGGATCTGCCACTGATCTTTATATAATTACATGCCAATTTTGTTTATTCTTTATTTATATTATCAAAATATCCATATGACTCTTCTCTATTTCAGGTAAAAATGAGCTACATGTACCAGAAAAGATATTGAAAATTTAAAAACTGTTTTAACAAGAGCATCATAAAATATTAAAAAAAAAGGAACAATACCAGGTCTGGACCTTTGTGACTGCATGCAATTAATTCTAAAATACCAGGAAACAAGATGTAGCTGCACAGCAGACATGGCAGATCTTAAAATTGCTAATAGGCATCAACTCAACATTTTCAAGCTGCATTTAAAAGGAAAAGCATTCCTTTTCATAGAATCCAAGATTTTTTTAACCAAGTCAAGTGGTTATTAGACCTGTTATCATGAAAATACTAACATATATATTAGTATTGACAGTCACATGTAATATCCCAAATATAAGAGCTATTTGGTATGTGTGAATATCTTTCTTCCCATGTCATGTTACATGTATGCTCAGAATATTTTAATGTCTCAAGGATATGAAATGGATAAATGATATATTGTCAACCATTTAAATAAAACAGACAGGCTCACATATAAATTAACTGTCTATGTGAAAGTTCAAGTTGACTAAAATTGTCTAGAATTAAAAAAACATATATCCAAAAGTACAGAATTGCCTTTCTCAGAAATTTTGTATGTTTAATAGAATGATACTTGTAGCTTCTATTTTCTTGGATCTGTATCAATATAAAATAGGGAGATGTGGTATGATCGCCAATGCGACAACTTTCCACCAGAGACCAAAGTAAGTGTTAGAAAATACAGGTATGTATGGCATTGTGTAGCAATCTATGAAAGACACAAAGATTACAAAGTGTAAAATAATTCCGACAAGATAACCAACCATCAAGGCTTCCTCTGGTCTCCTCTTAAACCAGCCAACTCACTGAAACTAAATATAACAGCCAATTACAGTCATATTCACAATAGGTACTATTTTGGGTCAACAGAGAATTCAAAATAGCCACCAAAGGCAATGAAAATTAGAATGAGAACTCAATAGGATATTGACTTGGATTATTTTCAACTAGGTTTAATATAAATGGTCCCAGTTTTCATGAACAAATGAAATGGAATCAAATGATCCAGGAATATTCAGTCTGTCCAACACTTTTGAAAATTTGTTTTCGGTGCTTTTAATCACAATATGTTATGTTCAAGCAGAGACATACTACATGAAAAAGTAGTTAGCTGGTTGTTTTGAGGGATTGAATTCTGTTCTTGGAACAAAAACATAAAAAAAGAATGACACGAAATAAAGTAAATGGGGAATCCAGTTTTTCAAACTATGTACATACAGTTTGTATTTGAGTTTTCGACTTAGTGGTTTAAGTTTTAATAGTGCTCCTTATGCCGCAGTCACACAAGGCCACGATCGCACTACGATCTCTGAAAAAAAATGCAAATTTTGACGATCGTAGTGCGATCGTGAAGATCGCAGTAAGGTTGTGGTGAGGTCTTCATGATCGTGATGAGCGTGGCCAACTTTGAACATGTTCAAAACAATCGTGGTGCGGTCGTGCCGAAATCAGGTCGTAGTAGAAGCGTAGCGAGAGCGCAGTAAGGTCGTGCTAAGATCGCTGTACCATCGTAGCGAGAGCGTAGCGTAAGCGCGAATCTAGTCAGAGAGATTGCGCTACGATCTCACAGCGACGTTATTACGACCATCATGTTCTCCCCGCGACCAAACAACGCTTCTACTACGACTTTACCACGTTTATACTACGCTGTTCAAAACCATAGTACCAGTGGCGGATCCAGAAGGGGGTTCATTTGAGTGGGGACATATGGTTGGAACCCCCCCTTTTTAAAATGGCTGGATCTGCCCCTGAGTACGATTCTAGCACGCTCATCAGAGTCGGATTTAGAGGGTTTTCCAGGGGGCCCGGGCCCCCTTTTGTGGGAAAAATTTTGGTTGATTATATAGGGAATCACTGAAGCATGACTGGAGCGGGCCCCCTCTTAGGCAGTCAGTGGGCCCCCCTTATGAATATTTCTGGATCCGCCACTGCTCATGCCGTCCTCATCACGCCCGTCTTACGACCTGACTACGTTCATACTACGACCATTTCGAGTTCTAGCCATGCTCATTGTCATCGTCACATAAAATATATAAAAGCTCTCCATGTTTTGTTTGTCTGTATGTAATTTGGACCTCATGACCCTAATATTCAACAGCTCAACCATGCTTTACACATCTGTATCATTCCCCGTGGGTATCATTCCCACTTTTGTTCAATAAAATATCGTCAGTTGATCTGGATAGATCAGCAATACGTTGTGATTCAGGTTTGATTGGTTGATCCGACATCTCTACTGGATCAGGATTCGTACCAGAGGCCCCTCTGACTACATTTTCCGCCACCACCACGCCCACCAGTTCTGGTAGATATGGATCGTGATGTTGACGTTACTGCTGAGGGCGTAGTTAGATCGCGGTATAAACGTGGTAATATCGTAGAATGATCGTGGTAAGAGCGTGCTATAATCGCAGAAGAAGCGTGGTGAGATCGGATAAATCGTGGTATGGTCGTAATGAGAACGTGATAAGCGTAGTAAGATCGAAATAATCGTAGTAAGGTCGCAGAATAAGCGACTGCTGCGTGGTGAGAACGTGGTATAATCGTAGCAAGATCGTTGTAGAAGCGTAACGAGGACGTAGTAGCATCGCGAAAACAACGAAAATCTACATTTCATGCCGCTCTTATCGCGACCTCACCACGATCTGAATTTATTTTAGATCGCGGTGAGCGTGATGCGATCGTGGCCTAGTGTGACTGGGGCATGACATGCATCTGCCTGCTGAGATTACACAATTGAAATCCACGCTAAGAAAACCTACAAATAATTCTACTGCTTATTTCCTCAAATTGAAAAAAAAAACACCTAAACACAATGAAACCCGTGAAATCATCGGCAGATCCAGGGAGTGTTCCTGGAGTCGGAATCCCCTTTCAAAATGACTGGATCCTCGCCTGGAATTTATATATAACAGGTTGTGGTCAAAGGGTGGATCTGTCCTGTTTATTAAATAAATGAAAGGATAATATACAGTCTGTTTTTGTTAGATGTATTTCTATTTGATTCCATCTGATGAGTTTATGCCTTTTTTAACTGCTTTTTATGGTTTTTTCTTATATTGGAATATTCTACCATAGCCCTGCTAACATGTTTAACCCCTCATTCTATATGAGCCTGTCCCAAGTCAGGAGCCTGTAATTCAGTGGTTTTCGTTAGTTGCTGTGTTACATATTTGTTTTTCGTTCATTAATTTGTACATAAATTAGACCGTTAGTTTTCTCGTTTTAATTGTTTTGCATTTGTCATTTCGGGGCCTTTTATAGCTGACTATATTCGGTGTGAGCCAATGCTCCGTGTTGAAGGCCGTACCTTGACCTATAATGGTTTACTTTCATAAATTGTAACTTGGACGGAGAGTTGTCTCATTGCCACTCATACCACATCTTCCTATATCTATATATGTATTTACGGCTTTGCTCATTGTTGAATGCCGTACGGTAACCTATAGTTGTTAATTTCTGTGTCATCTGTCTCTTGTGGAGAGTTGTCTCATTGGCAATTATTCCACATCTTCTTTTTGTCAAGACTGCGACTTTTGTCGCAAAAGCGAGACATAGCGATCCTACATTGCGGCGTCCACAAATATTCACTCTGTGGTTACAGTTTTTAAAATTTTAATAACTTTCTGAAACTATCATCGATTTCTACCAAACTTTAAAGGAAGTTTGTTTATGATTATAAGATAGTATCCAAAAGTAAATTTTGTAAAAAAAATCCTGTTTATCCGTATTTACTTATAAATGGACTTATTTTTTCTGCCAGTTAGCATTACATTGACTGGGTGTTAAAAGTTTTTAAAACTTGGATAGAAGCTTGTTTATGATCAAAAGCTAGTATCTACTGTTTTTCCGTATATTACTTATAAATGGACTTAGTTTTCTTCCAGTTAACATTACATACAGTCTGCAGTTAAAGTTTTAAAAACATTTATTAGATTCAAACCATCCTGGATTTTAACCACACTTCAGTTGGACAGAATCAAAAGATAGTATCTAGAGGAAAAAAATCAATAATTTTCCCCATTTTTGTTGAGCCTGCTACTATAACACTTTTACAACAAAAGTAGGCGAGACACTGGGTTCCGCGGAACCCTTACGATTTTTTTCTATAAACTCTTTAATATATTTTAATGATAAGATGAAAAGAAAAGAAAAAGTCACAATAATGTTTATTTATGTACATATTATATGATTTCACATTGACAAATACAGAGTGGTTTTAAAATATTCTGTTGTCTAAGGTGCTGTCATAAGCAAGCCGCTTTTGTTGTAAATAGATAAATAGTTCATCCTTTTATTAATAGAAGAATAGTCTATATTAAAAATAAAAAATGAAATAATCATCACTGACTCAAGAGTAACAGAAGTTAAGAACTATCGAACAGTTGAAATACAACAACCTGGTGACACGTTTCATGAAAGGAGCATTGCAGTTAGAATGCAAATTACCTGTGAGTGTCATCAAATCGTTAATATTGTACAAAAATATGTGCACAACGGAAACAAATAAATTTAAAGTCTTTTTTTTAAATGTTGCCATTTTATAATCATATATACCTATTATGGTCCCTATTTAAACATGTGCATGGCTGTAATTAATACGCGTTAGTTTGTAAACAAAACTGTATTGACCTTTTAATTTTAGAATAATAGAGTTCAAATATATCAATATTCATGTTATAACTTATTGTCATTTTGACGTAAATGTTTTTAAACCAATGGCAAGATACGATTTATTTTTCAATAATCTCTGATATTTACTCAATTGATATGGTAAAGTACCAACAGGTTCGAATAAGATCTTCCCAGCATATTATCATTGGTTTCCCTCCCCCTTACTTATATTCCCCTGAACTATTTCAGTTATATTTTTAATTAACGATGCCAAGTACTTGTTGTTGTGTACCTGGATGTCATTTAAGAGGAGGACATGCATTTCCAAATGACTTAAAAAGAAGGAAAAGTTGAATCAACGCCATGGCCCATACGCAGATTGGACGAGAACACGATGATATCGTGGAGTCCATCTCAATCAGCTGTTGTTTGCAAGGCACGTTTTACTGAAAAAGACTACGTGCAGGAAACTATTCATGGTAAAACTCTATTTTCTTTGTGAAATATATAGTTATATATGTAATCGCCATGCGAATAATCCAAAGTCTGTTTACAACCGCAATTATCGTTTTAGAATAAAAGGGGGTGGGTAATTCAAGACGTCATAATTTTTTGGATTACGATTCAATGTGATCTGTTTGAGATTTTTTGGTGATTGCTACAATTATAATGATTTCTTACAAGAGGTATATCATACTGAGAATTATTTTAGCAGTAATTATGCTAATGTAGTAATGACAGGAATGCATAAGCTATGCCTCATAGACTTTCTTGAAAAATATCAATGACAATGTTAACAGGAACAAAATGACATGCTCTCATCTATATTATAGTTATTTAGGTACAAACAATGTACGTTTGTTGCATAAGTCTCATTGTTTGTCCTTTGGATTTACATAACATACATTGAATCAGGCAAACATAGTTTTATCCAGATTGTAATGAATAAATCTAGTTAATATTTCGCCAGGTAGTACAAAGTATACATTGCTAATAGAAGTTCATTTAATTATCAAAAAACTAATGTTTTATAACCTTTTTCAGGGCGCAAACCCACCATACAGAGACTTAAGTCTACTGCCATTCCCAGCCTATTTTCCTGGACCAAGCAAGAGACTGAATCGTCCGCAAAAAGAAAAATCAGGGCAGTTTCCTGTGAAAACAAAAGAACTAAACTTGATGAATATTGTAGTAGAAATCTAGAGGAAAGTTTTGATTGTAAAGTTGGTTTTCCTGAAGAAGTCATTCATACTGCAGAAAGGATTTATGACTGTCCACCACCAACTGCCGAGCTAATGTTGAGCTTCACAGATGGGATTACGCAAACACCATCAATGCCTATGTTTTCAGCAGAGAATTTTGAAATGAAGACACGTGACACAGCCATGCATTTTTATACCGGTTTAGAGTTGTATACTAAATTTTTATTTGTTTTGACCACACTTGGTCCAGCAGCACATTGTTTGAGATACATATATTTTCAAATTGATAGGGTGTCAGTTGAAAATCAATTTTTTTATGACTTTGATGAAATTGAGGCATCATACAACCAACTTTGAACTGTCTAGATTCTAGATTGAATCTAGTGTTAAGAATATTGTGTATACATGGATTGTTTTTTTGTCTAAACAGTGGTGTGAGGCTAACACTTGGCCATCTAGATAGTGGTTTTGTCAGGTATTTTTCACCATCCAACTTGAAATTAAAGTTTCCTACGACTTGGATTATTATTGACAGCACAGAATATCCCGTGATAAAACCTAAAGCTCCTAGAGCTCAGGCAACCTTTTCATCAAATAAAAACAGAAACACTGAAAATTCTTGAATTTTCGACACCTGGTGGTTTAGTCAACTATGTCTCTATGTCACATGGTCCGGGTACACAGTTATCGTCCTTTGATTTTGTTGTCCACGAATATAGTCCCTAGTGTGGACAGTGTGTTACTTGTCGATTTTTTTTCTACCCCTTCCAAATTTATTTCTCCCTGTTTTATGACTCAAATAGTAAGTAGGGGGGTGAAATGACACTGTAAAAAAATTGGGTCATGAATTTTAAAGTAAAGTAGTGATTTGGTCCAGCTGAAAAAGGTTAAAAATTAGCACTTCGGAAGCTGTCAAAAGATTTCAAGACCCCCTCAACATAAAATTGTCCATATTTTGAGTTAGAGCCGATGAAGTTTTCTATAATTTTGATATAATTTGTCCCAAAAGTAGTACAACACACTGTAAAAATATTATTGAGAAAGCGCAGGTGGGATTTTTTTAATTTTCATTTATTGTCTAAAAGAAATGCACTACGAAATAACTGTGTACTCGGACCTAAGATAGAGCGAATTATTGGACTTGGCAAAACATACAAAATTCTAATAAATCCTATGAATGGAACTGAAACAAAACTTTCATCTGAAATAACATTTAGTTGTTTTATGTTGTGTAATTTTAGAACTTGTATTGTGCCAAAGGATGCATAAATAAAAGTGACGCAATGAATTTTGTTCTGATATATATATATTTACAATTACATGCACATGTAAATTGTAATGCATATAAAAATAAGCATAATAAGGAGATGTGGTATGATATTCAGTGAGTTTATCAAACTAAAGTGCATAAGAAATGGGTTTGAGCAGTTACAGGTGTTACTGTCACCGTACAATCTCCAACAATGAGAAAAACTCGTACCCTGTAAAAAATTTCAGAGATCTTACAAGGAAGTTTTGTTGTCTCACCTTGACTTTGGTGAATTTTTTATATCTGTTGATGTAAATATAAAAAAGAAGATGTGGTATGATTGCCAATGAGACAACTCTCCACGAGAGACCAAATGACACAGAAATTAACAGCTATAGGTCACAGTTTGGCCTTCAACAATGAGCAAAGCCCATACTGCACAGTCAGCTATAAAAGGCCCCGAAATGACAATGTAAAACAATTCAAACAAGAAAACTAACGGCCTATTTTATGTAAAATAAATGAACAAATATAACAAATATGCAACACATAAACAAACGACAACCACTGAATTACACTTTTACAGGCTCCTGACGGGACAGGCACATACATGTACATACAGAATGTGGCGGGCTTAAACATGTTAGCGGGATCCCAACCCTCCCCCTAACCTGGGACAGTGGTGTAACAGTACAATATAAGAAAGAACTATAAAAATCAGTTGAAAGAGGCTAAACTCATCAGATGGATAAATACAAATACAAGTGGACGTGGTCGGGTAGTTGTACATCCAAACAACAAAAAGACACTAAGTACAGATCTGAGAGTACTCACAGTTACTGACAGCTAGTTCAAAGCCACTAACAACTGATAAAAAAATCTTGCATCTAAGACTAAATTATCAATCCGTAAGCTCCCTTTAGAATTTTATAAATTTTAGATTTTACATTTCTGAGTTATGGGGTTTTATTCATTAAAAAAGGGGGGATTTTCCAGTTTTTGGACAACAACTCAAAAATGCTTTAAGCAGTTCACATGAAACTTTGGTGAATTATTTATAGCTATTGATGTAATCTCCCTATTGATTTTCATAAATTTCAAATATGACATTGAGAAGAAATTGAACTTTATTTGTTTATAGTCTGGCAACAGATTTATTAAGTATTGCGCAACAGCACAGTGTATTGCACAACAGCAAGAAATCTTTAATTGAATATAAATTCAATTCATATACCCGATTTCAAGTTCATTGACTACATTTATTCAGAAACTATAATATGTCAAATATTTAATTACAATCCAAATTCAAGCTTGAATATTGTGTCCATTTTTGCCCCAGCTGTTCAGGGTTGGACCTCTGCGGGTGTATCCAGCTGCGCTCAGCGAATCAGTTTATTTCTTAATTAAGAACTCCTTTTTTCATTCATAAATTACTTTATGCTTGGAAATATAATTTTGCTTGGAGTTGAAAGAGTTGACATGTTGCAATGTACATTTACTCTACATAGTTCTATGGTACCAAATCAAAAGTTTATATAAAAGAAAGAAGTCAAAGGTTTCCCATCATAGTTTAGTTACATACATTTTTTTTGTACCCGAGGTCGTTGTATATAGATCATTATATAAATAAGGAGATGTGTTATGATTGCCAATGAAAAAACTAAGGATTTTCTTATCCAAGGAATAGATTACCTTAGCCGTATTTGGCACAACTTTTTGGAATTTTGGGTCCTCAATGCTCTTCAACTTTGTACTTGTTTGGCTTTGTTACTATTTTGATCTGATGAGTCTTATGTAGACGAAACAAACGTCTGGCGTATTAAATTATAATCCTGGTACCTTTGATAACTAATTTGACTATACACATAGATAAAAAAGGTACAAACTGGACATAATGCACTAGTTCATAAACAAGTGAGAACAATCGCCTTTATATAGTGCTCAGAATATGACATTCATAAAACTTGTTCAATATCATTAGAGAACTCTAAATCTTAAATACTGAAAGCCACCTCTGATAAGTACACTGTACTATGCAAGATAATGATATAACTGGACTAATAATACACACAACCTGTAATTAACTGCCTTTACAGCGCTTTCGCGCTTTGATTTTTTTGTTACCGTGTAGGGGTCCCATACTATGGCTCCATATTAAATTGTAAGATCCATTCCTAAAGGTCTAGATCATTGTTCTAATCTGACACAAATTTCAATAACTGGAATGCTACCCAAGTTGAATATATGGTGACCTACTAGAACAGCATTATCACTATTGAAATTGTGTTTAATACCATGATTGTTCAATGTCATTAACTTAAATGGAGATAGACATTTGACCCGAAAGGTGGTGTGGGAGTGCAAAATCAAAAACTAACTGACTATGATATATGGTTAAAGAATGAATATCAATTACATGGGTCAACATGGTCAAGGGCAGAGTTGTTATGAAATAACAATATGGCAGAGAAGTGGTTTCAAGTTTCATATAAAGCGACCTGACTGACATGAAATAAAAAATCAAAGGAGTATCCCTATTTGTCTAATCTTCAAGGTGAAATAAAACTAGTAAAACAATATTATACTATTGTCTAAATCTACAGAAATATTATTTGCTTCAAGTAACAGAAATAACTAGGTCACTAGTAACTTATTTAATGAGTACATGTATGTGGGGTATGAGAGCTTGATAACAACAGGCTCTTTCATAATCATTTGGTTTGAAAAGGATACTAGAAGTCTATATTCTTGATTTAGAAAAATGTAATTGCAAGACAAAAATCACATTACTTAGAATACTTTAGATCATTCAGGTAGTCTTTATTTATATGTACAAAAGAACAGCCAGTAGTCATTGGATATTGTAGATCATTCAAATAGTCTTGACCTGTTTATTAGTACAAAAGAACAGCCAGTAGTCATTGGATATTGTAGATCATTCTGGTAGTCTTGACCTATTTATTTATAGAAAAAAACAGCCAGTAGTCATTGGATACTGTAGATCATTCAGGTAGTCTTGACCTATACATTTGTACTAAAAAAACAGCCAGTTGTCATCTTCACATAACACACACATATACGAATATCAATTATATGCTTACGAGACATGTTGGAATGTTAAACTTAATTACGGTATGTGAAAATCAAGACTTGCATAAAAAATATCACAATATTAGAGACAGTGGCGTCATTTTTCCTCAGAGCTTTCAGCTCTTTGATTTGTGTGTGTTATCAAGGTTAATTAGTCTTCAACCTCTGAAAATTTTTAGTCTATCCTTCCACGAAATATTTAATTAGAATTTTTAAATATTTTTGAACTTTCGAAAATTGCCCCTGACAACCGCTCAGACAATAGTTTAAGTTGACCAAATGCATAAAAGTACATTAAATGATGCTCAATAGCTAGTAGATACATTTGTCTTTTATAATACATCAGGCATGTAGGGATCGTAATGATACTATGTGGATAAATTTATTGGTTTTCAAGAGCTAAATTGACAGCGCGTCATCACTACAATGGCTTCCATTTTTACGATTATAAAAATTAGGTGGCGTAATGGGGAGATAATTTTGACAAAGTAGAATCCTGACTGGCTTAAAGTTCAAAGGACAAGAATTTTATAATTCTATTGTACATGAAATATTTGTATTAGCTTTAAGCTTTAACTAGGATTCCTTCGTCACAATAATGATAAAATATTTATATCACAAGTGTCTATGAATGATTTTTTCCATTCATCTTGATTTTAGCTTGTGCACAGACAGTATAAAATAACCTTACCTTTTTGTTTCAGTTAATGTCGAACTATATATAATCCAGTCAAATTCACAGCTGAATTCACCATTGCTTTTTTAAACAACAGTGCATTTCCAAACACACTACATTGTAGTCTAAATGTTGTGTACATTTGGTTCACATGCATGTTGACATTGGTGTGAGACAAAAAAAAAAACTATTAATGTCAAAAACTATCTTTCCTTCAGAATTAAGTTAAAGCAGGGTTTCATAAGGGGTTATAGATAGTTTGACTTGAAATATTTTATGACTTTGAGATACACATTATTTTTTTTAAGTCAGTAGAATATACATGTATATATATATATAATGTTAGTTTATTTGTGAAAACAGGAGAAAAAAAACTAACAGAAATTTCGCATAATTTTCAATGTATTTATTTTAGGACGGCAAATTTGAGTTATATTTTCTATTATAACAAGACAACTGCTTAAGAGATTGAAAGACATCAATTTCTTACTCCAACGACAAGAAACAGAAAAATTTTCCAAATTGCAGTCAATTTTATATTTCCGCAAAAAATTACACAACTTCAGAATGGCGGGCTTTCATATAAGTACCATTTTTGTCTTTAGAAAGTAGCAACAACAGTTGTTTCTAAGGGCTTGCTTTCCGACTGTGAATAAAAGATTTGTGAAGAAATTATTTCATGTTGTATTGCATTTACATAATAATGTATATACATTGTATGCTGCTTTTTGTGATCAAGTATATGTAAGATTGGTTGGCTCACAGAACATAATATTTCTATCTTTGTAGTTGTATCGTCATGGAGATAGAAGTCCTGTTGCAATATACCCCAAGGACCCCAATACAGAGTCCTCATGGCCCATAGGTCTTGGACAGCTCACAAATGTAAGTCTTCAATTAATCTTCTCAAGTTTCAGGAAAGATAATTTGTAAACCAATTACAAAGGAGTAGGTTCAGTAAGACCCCTTTTTGGCCCCAAAATATAGCAGTTTTACAAAATTGTTAATATGTAAACTTTTAGCTAATCATTGGAAAGTAGAATACTTCTGTTACATACATATGAGCTGTTTTTGATAATACAATGCATATTTATCGGGTACTAGCATCATTAAGTCATGCTAAATTACTGAAATCTTCATAATTTTAGCATTTGAGTTAATTTTTAGATGGTTTCCGTCTTAAATGGACGTGGCCGCATTTGTGTTCATTCTTAATATTTAAATGTAAGTTGTATTTGATGATAATACATAACATATATAAAGGTTGAGGATGAACACGGATGCGGCCACTTTCATTTTTGACAAAAACCATCTAAAAAGTGACATATTATGGCATATTTGATAGATTTATAACATTTAAGCTTGAATATGAGCTTTTTTAATGACTAAATCAGTTCAAATCTTTCACATAAATAAATTGATTCTACTAAAGTAGACACTTAAGTGTTTAAAAAGTGTCCAAAATCTCTCATCAGATGAACCTGAAATTTGGGGCCAAAATCGGCCCTTACCGGACCTACTCCTTTAATGACCCTATGTTACCAGTTTTGTTTATGATGATAATTGAATCAAATTGTAGGAATGAAAATATGTACGATATAATTTCACAATTGACAAGATTTCATTGTAAAAACCATACATTCATGGAGAAATGTATATTTTTTTCTAACGATCTTAATGCCATATCGTACCAAAAAAGGCTTAAACTAGCATCCAGTAAATAAAAGAAACTGTAAAATCCCATGAAAATTGTTAAAAATATATCATTGTATATTGTTGCTTAAAAATAACTAGATATGAAATGTCCATTTAAAGATTATGGATCTTTCATTCTGAAATACTATATTTGTAACTTACAGATACCTTTTGGCTTTAGAAGAATGATAAAAAGACTGCTGTATAATTTTAGTTAAACTTTTTTATGAATTTATATACATGTACATGTTTTAGGAAGGAAAAGAACAGGAGTATTACCTTGGACAGTTATTAAGAAGCCTGTATGGAGATAACCTCAAATTCTTGAACAAAACATTCAATGTTAAAGATGTAAGGTTTATTTAGTGTGTAGAATGTACATGTATAGAATATTAATTGTCTTATCAAGGTCATACAATATGAATTTTTTTACAATGTGTGGTTCACTTGATCTTAGTTCATCATTAGAAATAACTATACACATGTATATGGTCAAAATTCTTTGCTTTCTCATGATTTTGCTTTTGTGACATTTTGAAGCAATGTCACTCATATGTGATATTGTCACATACATGACATAGAAAGAACATGACTTTTTTTAAAACCATAAAAAAATTAAAGATAAGGTTTGCTTATGTAATGTCTTAAAATGGTTATAGAAAACAAGATTTCACCACCTAATCTGGTGCCATTAGATATATTTCCACTCTTGACAGGTAAATTTTAAATATTTAAAAGGCTCAGCGTGAAAATTTAACAGTTTCGAGAGGACAAATTTTGTATCTTCCTAGATGTAGTACATTGTACTAAAATCTACATTTGTTAAATTTATTCATATTTGATTATAGTCATGGAATATTTGAATAATGTTTATTTTTTTTTAAATATTGGTAAACATTTTAGGTATATGTTCAAAGCACAGATTATGATCGTACATTGATGAGTGCCTATTGTATGCTGGCTGGACTATTTCCACCCACAAAAGAAGATTCATGGAATAAAAATATAACATGGCAGCCAATACCTGTACATACTGAACCAAAGAATGAAGACCATGTATGTAATGAAATTTACTCTTCTCAGAGAAAACTTTTAATGTAATTCATTTACTTGAAAAGTTGATTTTTAAAATGTATACTTTTTGTAAAAAATACAGTACAATTTATGGGAATGGGTTTCCATACGCTTAACACTGTGTAAAAACACAATGTTACACCAGGAAACTTGGTAATTTCTCCTTAAATTCTTGGTGTGAATTTGAGATTCTCTATAATTACAGCATAAGTTTGTGATATACAATCACTGACCGTAAATTCCCTTGTTTATGATGTTGACAATGCTTTTCTGTAGAGTTTAATTATGACGTCAATAAAGAATGCAGTTTGGCTGAATTTTTACATTGTCTGTTTCAAATTGATAATTGATGGCACATTCATGTATTTACCCAAAGTATTTCATTTGGAACAGTTGCAGTATAAAGAAAATAATCATACATTGTTTCTAAATAGAAATTTTATTTGTAATTGACTCGAAAACAGGATTGAAATTTTTTTCGAAAAGCCTTGTATTTTACTTGTTTCTAAACCTTGTACAAATACATTTTATATTATGAGACAATGTATGGTTATTCTTTATGTATGTAAATGGACGAGCATATTTAGAAAATATTGTAGATTCCAAAAACAGGTTTGTTAAATTTCTTATCAATGAAATATTTTTGTTTGGTGATACAAACTGAAATTGGTTAACAATTTTATTAAAGAGCACAGAAATTTATAGTAGAGTAGCATTTAATTATTAGTCAGTGATTTTATAGGAATAACATTAACACTCCTGAAACAATTTCCGACACTAGAAAACAAATTATTGTCAGGTAATAATTGTAGTTGTAGACATTGAAATCCTCCTTTATTATATTATTTAATAACATCAGATAAAGTATTGTTCTTTGAGTAAAATTTTGTATGTAGACATGGTAGATGTTGATTTGTTTATAGTGGAAATTATTGATATATGGTTATTGTGGAAATTGTTCTTAAATTTCATTAAACATATATGTTTCAGCTTATTTATTTAGATAATCCGTGTCCTGTGTTTACGTCTAAGATGGACTACTTTATGTCACACGATCCAGAGGTCCTTAAAGTGAAAAATGACACACAGGTATACACTTATTGTGGAAATGTGATAATAGATATATAACTACTACAGCTGTGGATTCATTATTATAGTGGAATACCAAGTTTCATGGATTTCATTGGTTTAGAAAAACCACAAATTTAAATGAACAACATAAGACAAATTTTCCATAAGCTTGTACATAGACTTTGGCAAAACCACGAAATCAAATATCAAAGGAAATAGTTTTTCCTCAATCCACAGAAATTGATACTCACAAAAAATAAATTACTCCACATTATAAATACTACCATTAATTTTGTACATAATTGCACGTTTCCGAGTGTTTTAAAAGTATCATTAAAAGCAAAAACAGACAAGACAAAAATCTCTGTCAAAGTTCACTGAAGCCAACAAATGTTATTTTAAAAATTCAGAATTTTATGTAACATTTAGATAATTTATTGACATTTAATGCTAAATTTGATAATATTTAAAAAGTAACTACAGTTATCTGTGTCAATGGTGAAAAAGCATTTCATCTTTGAATTTAGATTTTTTTTAAAGGAAACTTGTAATTTGTTGTTTGAACCTTATGGATGTACGCGGGTGATGTTTATGAATTTTTGTCAGATGTTCAGACTTCTTGGGTTTTTTCCTACGATACAGGGTAAAATATTTTGCCCCATATCATCCACTTTTCTTTTCATAGAAGACTTCAATCGCTCATAAAAAAGTCATTACCAAAATTTAAGCAGATTCTAAATTTTTTTTCTTACGATTTGAGACCCAAATAATTCCAATGCTAAATATAAGGCAAAAGTCTGAGTCAGCCTTTTCCTGCCATTTTTAAAAAAATCAAATATCTCAAAAAAGGAGTTCCATAACCTATCTATATTTTTAGCTTATTTTGTTCCTTAATTAATGTTCATCTGACTTATAGTATCAATTTTAAATTCTAGATTTTTTTAATTTCACCCAAGTACATCCTTAAGTGAAATGTTATATGTTCTGCTAAATAAGAAGTTTGCTCTTTATTCTTTTTCTCATTTTTTCTATAACTACTTGAATTGTTGTAATTGAAAACTTTCAAACAGCTTATGAAAAAAATATCATTGGAATATAGAATTTCTTTATTTCTGTGATATTTGCAGCTAAATTAGACACTTAAGTAAGTATTTCAATTCTAAAAATAATACAAAGCTGTTGCTTTACAGGATTTAGTGAAATATGTGGCTGAACATTCTGGTTTACCAGCAACATTTAAGGGAATGATGAAAATATTGGACACAATATTCTGTGAGGTAAGTCTTTTTGATTAAAAAAAATGTGTGTAAAGTCAAAATAACTTTTTAAAAAAAGACAAAGAAGCAAAATTAGAAAATATGATAGTTTTGGAAGTACAGCATGAAATATACAAATAATGCAGTAAGAAGTGAATATGTGAGTTTTAGTTCATGCACTACTTCCATCAATTTTTTTTTTGGCAATAATGAAAAATGTAATCTTTAGCATTTCTGTGAGGTCATTCTCTGCCGCATGTTACGTTTGCACGAAAAAAATCCACATTTGCGTGAAATTAACCTGTTGAAAACTCACTAGGTTTGCGCGAATTAATTTAAAATTTTTTTTTTTAAATGAATCCTTGACTTTTTATAAACAAATTGTTATTTCCGAAGTTAAACAAATTTACTTACAATTAACAAAAAAAAACTGAAATTAATTTGAAATGTTTTGTTAGAATGTATCCAAATACTACAGTCAAAGGTTGTCGTTTTCATCTTGGACAGGCCTGGTTTCGAAAAATGCAAAATTTAGGCTTCGCTAATGAGGACAAAGATAAGTCAACTGAAATAGGAAAATGGTAATTGCATATTTTTGGATTGCCATTTCTTTCAGCAGAGGAAGTTGAGGACAGTTTTGCAGACGTTATAATGTCAGTTGCTCTGTAAATGAAAACAGCAACAAATTTGCCGACTATTAAGTAGAAAATACGTAACCAGTGAGTTGAAATTTCCACAATGTGGACGGCTGTGTCTAATGAAGAAACAAAATGTACTAGCAATGGGCCAGAGTCTTTTTGCATCCATTACCATGGTATTTTACCCCTCTCTATCGCTCGGGATAAAATCATCATGAAAACAAATCTACAGCTGCCATGAATTATTTCTTAAATATAAGTAAGAAAATGTGGTATGATTGCAAACTATGTTCAAAACAATAAATGAAAAGCAAATATGATAGACAACAACAAACGAGATGACTCATTTTCCTAAAAAAAAAAAACGTAGATTCAGGTTATTCTCATGATTAAATCACAGGTAAAAACTGAGGTAAATTACAGGTAAATTCGAGCAAACATAATACCATTTCTTCCCGCAAATATAATGCTTGTCATTTTCAAATTTGCTCAAATATAGGTCACTTTTTCTCTGTCATTAACATTTTGAGAACATTATGAATACATCAGAAACAGTGTTAGTTCTAAAGGTAAGTTGTAGACATTAAAAGATTCTGTAAATCAAGTTTGAAAAAATGAAAGTAAAATCTTAAAGCCCGTTATGAATCATATGGCACTACTAACAATGGAAAAGGGACCAGGGTTGGGAAAGGCAGTTAGAAAATTGCACAAAAACACAAATATTCAGTCAAATTAGGTTGGGGCGTAGAATGGCTTTTATTGTTAATTATATCATTTTCTGTTATATAAATTAAATCATTTCAGCAAAAAAGTATGCTTAACTCCTACAATGCTGAGAGGGGACAACATGTACAAAATAAAAAGAAAACTTTGTATTTGGGTTTTAAGACTAAGAGATATTTTTTTTTAAAGAATTGACTGGTCTTCAGTGATAGTATTATCTAAAAGTGAGTTATCTAATTGTATTATTATTTTTAGCAAGCCCATAATAAAAGCCAACCAGACTGGCTAAATGCAGAGACTTTAAAACGACTGAATTATATACAGAAAACTTATAAGGTGAAATGGTGGTACCCTACTCATGAAATGGCTGTACTAAAAGGTGGTAAGTAATGCTTAAAATATATGTTTTTTGTCTCTCCTGCGACAAAAGGGATTACTATCTGGTGGCGATGGTGGTGTAAACTATTTTTTAAAAGCTTTATATTTCAGAAGGTAGAAGACCTGGATGCTTCATTGAATGGGAGACATAATTATACCCTAACTCATGGAGTGGACCTTGTCTAACATTCTGTAGTGCTTGTTTTACATATCACTCGGCTTCTGTACTAAAGAATAATTTGATATTTAGTCGTGAACGTTATAATGTTGAGTTGTACTGTGTAAAAGATTTTGTGTACAGTTTGGGGGACGGGTAGCCACTTCCTGTTTGAAGATATTTTGAATGTGTATTATACCCACTTTTTGTCAATGTCTTCAAGGAGTGGGGTACTTTGCATAATATCATATTAAACTTTTTATTTAAGGATGTTCGCTACTCTTGTTTTTGACTTATTGTCAAATATTCAGAATTTTCTAGTTTTATCTATCTAATGCCAATAAAATTTTGCCTGCTAACCCCTAATTTTCTTTTCATAAATTTATGTTACATATAGTTTGAAAAGCCAATTTTGAAAACTTTATTATTTTTTCATAGTTTTTGAAACAAAAAAGGTGTCAATGCTAAATGCATAAAAAGTCTAGAGAGAATCATTTCCTGCAAAATTTTGCATTGATTAAATCTCAAAAACAAAGACACAGACCTGTGCTTTTTTTCTACATTTTAAGTTCTGTTATTTATATACTATCTATTTATAACAGTATTTTAAAAAGCTTGTTATTTTGAAACAGAGGAGCGAACATCCTTAAATTGAATAAGCCCTTATTTTAGTGTGATAATGTAATACAAATATGATTATATTTATTGTAGGCAATTTATTGAAGAAAATATATAAAGATATGCAGACAAAACTGAACACACCAGCAAACCTTACACAGAAAATTATGGTTTATTCTGCAGTAGGTTTATATGATTTGATTGGGGAGGTTACATATGCCTGAATCTATAGACTTTTATCAGAGAGAATATATTAATAAAAACTGCAAATTTAGGAAATACTTTTTTCAAATTTACTTTTTTCTTCCATCTTCATCAATAATACAACTGTTCATTAATGTTTACAAACTGTATTGACAATATCAAGAAATGTCTGAAAACTGATACTGCTTGACTATTATGGGTAGAGTTTATATTCCTTTGGACTCTGGTGAAAAGTAATATTGTCTTATAAGCAGTCATACAACATCTCCGTATTTACCATGTTGATACATTATCACTAAACCGCCTAGATGGTCTTTTGGTAGCGTGTTCGCCTCCAGTGCAGAAGGTCGTGGGTTCCAACCCCAGCCGGGTCAAACCAAAGACTTTAAAACTGGTATTTGCTGCTTCTCTGCTAAGAACGCCGCATTAAGGAGTAAGAGCAAAGACTGGTTGGCTCGGAGTCAGAATAATGTTTCAGGGTAAGGTGACATGTCTTCATGCTGGCTGATACCTTGTGAACTAGCACGTTAAAAATCTGGCTTAGGGTGTTGGTCTAGTACAAAGCAGGGTAAATATTCATATTACATTAACATGTTCTTGTCCTGAATATGCATATTGATTTGCCACTGGAAGTTAATTAGCCATCCATCATCATCATCATTATCACTAATCAAATCAAGTTATGAAATGGAAATGATGTAATTTACAATATAATATTTTAGGTTGCAAACATTATACTAAAGTTAAAACATTACAACACAAGAGCATGTAATTTTAAAGAAAAAATATAGAGACTATATATTGATTTAAAGCTTGACGTATCGTATAGACACTTCTCAATTGTTGAAGACTGAATGATAGCCTGTAAATGTCTTTTTGTTTTTTGGTCATTGGGTTGCTGTCTCAATTCAGATATATGAAATGTTGAAAAGGATAACAGTAATGAATTAGTTGATAAAGGAGAAGGTCTGGTAAGGGCTAGTTTTGGCCTAATATTCTATAAAGTACATCTGATGAAAGATTTTTGACATTTTTTAAATTTTAAACACTTAAGTGTCTACTTCGGTCGATTCAATCAGTTTATGTAAAAGATTTGAACTGATTTGGTCATTAAAGACGCTCAAATGCAAGCTTAAATATGAAAAATCTATCAAATATGCCATAAAACGTCACTTTCCAGATGGTTTTTGTCTAAAATGTTAGTGGCCCCATTCGTGTTCAGTCTCAACCTTTATATATGTTATGTATTATCCTCAAATACGACATATATGTAAATCTTAAAGACTGAACACAAATGTGGCCACTTCCATTTTAGACAAAAACCGTCTTGAAATTTGCACAAATGCTAAAATTGTTAAGATTTCAGTAATTTTGCATGAATTTATGGTACTAGTACTTGATGCATGTGCATTGTATTGTCAAAAACAGCCCATATTTATGGAACAAAAGTATTCTACTTTCCAATAAATAGCTAAAAGTTTACATTTCAACAAATTGGTAAAAATGGGGTCTTACCTGCCCTAATCCTTTGTATTTATTTTATTAGTTCATAACAAATTATCATCATGAATTATACATAAATTGAAATTGATGTATTTGTAATTATTTTTTGCTCTAGCATGATTCAACAGTTGCTGCCTTACTTAAAACCATGAAGATATTTAATGATAGAACTCCAACATATTCCTCCTGTGTGATGATAGAACTACATGATAATAAAACAGTCAGGATCTTGTATAGAAATGATACATTAACAGATGATATTGTCACATTGACACTTCCAGGTAATGGCATAATTATCTTTTTTTTTTGTGCGAGCCGTTTCCACTTTTTTTAGGACATTTGATATTAAAAACATAACATATTCATATATTTATTTACAGCTAAAAGACTTAATATTTTGCCATTGTGCTTGTTTTAGATGAAATGACACAGGGTGTATGGAATAAATTCTTTATTACAAAAATGACTCTTTCTAAAATTTAACATGAACAGCAGGGGGTTAAAAAATTGTATTTCCGTATTCACAAATTGAAACAAGCTAGATAAACTATGATGGTACAGTTCCTCTGATTTTCCATGCAATGATGAATAGACACACGAGGATCACAGTTTCCATTCTTAAATCCAAGAATTGTATAAAGTTGCTTTAAGAATTTAGGGCAAAATTTCAAAGTTCCATTCATAAAAATTTTGTTTTCTCTATTATGTACGGAAGAACTTTTAAAAAATGTGTGAACACTGATCCTTGACTTTGGTAAATTTGGATAAGATTACAGGTTAACTTTCAGGTAAAAAGTGCAAATATCCAGTCAATTTAGTTCAGGTGTATCAACGTTTAAAATGCGAATGTCCTTAGTGTTTGGAGGGTAAATGTCCTTTCATATTACAGGTAAAAAAAGGGCAAAACTCCTGCACCCATCATATTTGACACTTTCAGTTACTGGCATAATAATGTCGTATTGACATTTTCAGGTAATGTCATAATAATGTCACATTGTGACTTAAAGGTAATGACATAATACTGTCATTTTGACATTTCCAGGTAATGTCATAATAATGTCACATTGACACTTCCAGGTAGTGACATAATAATGTCATATTGACATTGTCACTTAATAGCATAATATTGTCACATTGATACTTAAAGGTATGGCACATGCTAGAAATTACGTGTCAATTTTTATTTTTACTGTAATGATAACTTGTCATAGTACACAATAAGATCATGTTTTAAATAAACAATAATAAACTACAGTGAAACCTGCGGATCCTAATTTGAGATTGCAGATTTGCTTTAGCCAAGACAGTGTTCTCCCCAGGATTTTTGGATAGCACCAGGGTAAAGCGTGTGGACTTCTTGGTGAAATATTTCATGCAATCAGTGGTGTCACGTCGCGTCGCTTAGCTCTAGTTACTGTAGTCTCTTGTTTTGTTTTAACACTGTGGTACTGTGTTATGTAGACATTGATTCAGAAAATTATTGGCAAAAAAAAGTAAATAAACAAACAGTTTGTATACTTTAATATTTTTTTTAAATAAATAAATTATGATTCATAATAAAATATTCATCTGAATTTAAAGTAATTAAATCTTTTATAAAATCCAAAATCAATAAAAATAAAATATAATTCAATAGAGAACAAAAATGTTCAATTTAAAAAACTTTCTAGATTCTAGAAAAAAAGTTGTTGTATGTGAAAGGATTCATGTCATAAGAAGATATAAAATTAACAAGAACAATTGCAAATATTGTTTTATTATTTGAACCAGTTTCTATCTTAGATTTTAATAAAATTAAAATTTTCATGAATTTTAGAACATTTTGCCATAGATTTCATGTAAATATTAACCTTTCTTGTCTTTGGTGATAATCAAACATAGAATCATGTGCAAAACAGTGTAGCCGAGACCATTGATTGGCGCGCTAAAATATCCCATTGACTGGGTCAGATTAGGTGAACGTTCGTCTGTAACGCCCACAACTCACGACGTATTTATTATAAACATTTAAAATGTGGGGTCACCAAAGGGTCTCAACGCCTAAATAAAATAATTCGAAAAACTAATCAGGAATAACCTTTGTGTTTTGATTTATGTTGAATTCTTTACTTGTGTTTTTGTTATGTTTTGATAATGAATTTTTATGATATCGGACGTTCTTTCAGCAAAAAAGGATTTAACTGGCTTTAAAAGTTACCATGGATGTGTTGATTATTATCTTTTTTTCGGACGTCAAAGCGATTTAACAATTGCGGTTTTTCCAATTATGTCATCTTTTAACTTTTATCTGGTCAAAATTTTATTTTAGAACAAATGCATGATCAACTTTAAAAAGTGTGCAAACACAAAACATATAGACAAAATATACTTCTTTCCTGTCTTTTTCGTACTTGCAAGTTATTAGACAGTAAAAAGGCTATTTGGATCAAGCCTTGTGAAATTTGCATTTACGTTTTTGAATAGGTAAAATGTATAGTTTGGTGATCTTTTCTGCTAACTACTATACTTGTGAAAAACCCTTGGCAACAGAAACATATTCAGCTTTTTTTTTAATCGACCCAATTTACATAGTAATGGACGACTTCGTACATTTTATGATCGCAAATAAAATATGTATATAATATACTGTGCACTGTAGTTCGTATATATACTGAGACCCTTTGGCAACCCCACAGTTTAAATGTTTATAATAAATACGTCGTGAGTTGTGGGCGTTACAGAGGAACGTTCACATAATCTGACCCAGTCAATGGGATATTTTAGCGCGCCAATCAATGGTCTCGGCTACACTGTTTTGCACATGATTCTAGATACAGACCTAATACTGCCCTAAAATCAAAATCTTTATTTGTCATGAACCATTTAAAAAGAATTCCTAAATCTATAAATTTATCTTTGGTCTATAGATCTATAAGTAACCATATTCAATGTCAACAACTAAGTCTCCCTATTTTCCCGCCTAAATGACAGGAAGTAGATATCAATAGATTTAACATGTGCTTATGGATAAAATTTGCAAGATTACTTCTGCTATTCATTAATTATGGATATAGATATCCAGTTTGAAGGTACAGTCATGTATTTTATTTATAAAATATAATAGATTGCAATTAATTGTAAATAAACTTGAATATTCTACGTGAACTAACTGGGTCATGTGATATGTACAGACAGATACTACAGTTTGAAACCCGACTATCATGCAATAACTATGTCATAATTAAAGATAATATTGGCCATTGTTTAATCAGAGACATATAATACTATAATATAAGAATTGGGAAATGTATAGTTGTCCATTATATGTAATGAGCCACCATTATGATGTACAAAAAATGTACCTATCGGGTCAAGACACTGTTTGTGTACAAAGTATTTGCCGACTTGTCACAGGTCAGTGCTTGGGTGGAGAGTGAAGCCATAAAATAGTTATCTGTGATCATAAAGTTATGAACTCTTAATTAAAACACAAAAGAATCGTGTTACAAGTGTTAATTACATCGATTAAATCCAATCAACCAGGTTAACCTCATAAGGTAAATCGATCACGTGGTGTAAACAATCTGTGTTGAACTGGTTTGAACTGGTCAAATTTCACCTGGAATTTTATACCGCACGGAAAAGATTTAACAAGTCCTTTAAAACTTATCCGATTTACGATTTTTAACTGAAAATTTTAGCACCACGGAGAAAAATTATACATCGCGGTAAGAATGATACCACCACGGTCAAAAATTATACATCGCGGGCCCGTGGTCTTTTAAGGGCCTGGGGAGAACACTGCAAGATTTTCAGTTTGTACAGATAAAATGTACACAAGTGCTGTTTGGTAGACAGTGTTCCAGTTGTTTGCAGGTTTTGGTTTAGACAGGTTTCATTATATTTGTTTTTATTTCAAAGTTATGAGTAAATTCATTTAGAAGTGTAGGTGGTCCATCCAAGCAATGTGATAATCATATTTATATCAAGTATGTATTGCCTAAAAAAGCTTAGATGTTGTGTGCATTTACTAAGAAATCTAACTCACTCAGGGAAGATATTGATGCAGAGATTGCCTTAAAAAAACAATAATGTCTAAATGTTAGGAAGTGAGAAGAACAAAAGAAAACATTAATATGACTGTATTTTTGTTACTTATTTAAAGGGCATCAACTGTTTTAAGTTTTCAACAATTTTACTTTTTCTTCACACATGCTATTTATTGTGTTAGGTCACTTCATTTGGTGTACTTACTATAATTCTCTTTAGCTATTGCAGAATGTATATAGTGTTCAGCATGGACCTTCATTTTACTTACAAGAAATTGTTAATTTTTTAGAAGTCTTTATAGATTTTATAAGGTTCATTGATATGGATGTTTTTTAGAAGTTTTTGTAGGCAATTCACTCTGAGTGTAGTCAAAAATGCTCAGCAATGTATAAATATGATTATTATCTTTTGCTAATCTGAAAATGAAATATCAGGTATAGTGAACAAGACTTCTTATTGCGAACCCAATGAAAGTTTTCCACAGTGCCATCTCTATCTTGACCAGGTATTTAAACTTTTGTAAGTTCACCTGTCCTATTGAATGAATACAATAGCTATTTTTCTCTGTGTAGTTTATTCACTGGGACCTTTAAATTTCTTCTAAGAGAAATCTATCACTCATTGATTAATTTACCTGAGTAAAAAAAAAATCTTATACATAGACAAAAATACTTTTTTTATACTCATTAACTGCATGTGATGATGTATTTATTCAATATTAATAATATATTTTCATTCAGTTTAATATAAACATTGATTCAATCATAAAAAGTTGATTTCAAACAAAAGTTTCATCAATGTTCCTATTGAAATTTGATTTTTTTTGTCTAGCTATAGTATACATTTAAGAAGATCTTAATTTAAACATCATAATTTTCAAGTTTTTATTCATGTCAAACAAATTTTTTTTTAAAAGAAACAATGTTGAAAGTTTTGTCAGCAATCAACTTTTTATGATTGAATCAATGTTTATATTAAACTGAATGAAAATATATTATTAATATATTATTAATATAACATAAATCAATGCTAACATGTTTAACCCCGCCACATTCTGTATGTATGTGCCTGTCCCAAGTCAGGAGCCTGTAATTCAGTGGTTGTCATTTGTTTATGTGTTACATATTTGTTTTTCGTTCATTTTTTGTACATAAATTAGGCCGTTAGTTTTCTCGTTTGAATTGTTTTACATATGTCATTTCGGGGCCTTTTATAGCTGACTGTGCGGTATGGGCTTTGCTCATTGTTGAAGGCCATACGGTGACCTTTAGTTGTTAATTTCTGTGTCATTTGGTCTCTTGTGGAGAGATGTCTCATTGGCAATCATACCACAACTTCTTTTTTATATTTTATTAATGTTTCAACTTTGCATCACTGTTTTCATTCAACTGATTGAAAATATATTATCAATATTGAATAAATATAACATCACATGCAGCTTTGAGTATAAAACTTGGATGGAGAGTTGTCTCATTGGCACTCATACCACATCTTCCTATATCTATTTTCCTCTATTTACAAGATTTTTTTTTTACTCAGGTAAATTAATCAATGAGTGATAGATTTCTCTTAGAAGAAATTAAAAGGTCCCAGTGAAAAAACTACATGGAGAACAATAGCTATTGTATTTTTTCAATAGGACAGGTGAACTTACAAAAGTTTAAATACCTGGTCAAGATAGAGATGGCACTGTGGAAAACTTTCATTGGGTTCGCAATAAAAGGTTATGTGTTTAAAAAGAGATCGGATAAAATGTGCCAAGGGCCCGAGTTGGCCCAAAAATTGAAAAATTACAAAATCATGTGATCTGTTGCATAAAATAATTGGTAGCTGTGTTTTTCAGGTTGCAGTGAATTTTGTGATATAGATACATTTCATACAATATTGAATGATTCTATGCCTGCAGACTGGAGAAAAGCTTGTGGTTTATTAGATGCAAGTGAACAAAATTTTAAAAGTTAGTACAAAATGACAGAATATGAGTATTTTTGAATAAATTGTAATATATTTAATCACATTGTAGAACCAGGATTTCACATATTTTTTTCTAAACAAGATATCTTTTTTTTGGCTAAGTTTTTGTTGAGATTGTTATGATAGTTTAATTGGGGATTTACTCAATAAAAATTGCAAAGTGAATGAGCAAAAACAATTTTCAAAATAAAGCAATTTTGAAGTGGTCATATCAGTTTTGTTTAGTGATTCACTATTAAATTTCTGTTTTGAATAATGTTATAAGCTTATTATGATGATTTTGTTTAACAATATGAACTAGCAATTGTTTTGACATGATGTAAGTGAGAAATATGGAGAATTTTATCTAGATCTTTTTAAGTCTTAAATCAGCCCATAATTACTAAAAACAGTTCTGTATTTTAAAATCTGTCGTAATAATATAGATGACAAAGGAGGTAAGTATTTAGTGCACACTTGCTGTACTGTTGTGATATAGTTTTCGTTCACATATACACTTTCTTTAAAATGTCATTACATATTAAAATCAAAATAAACTGTGCCAAAGGCAGACAGATTATTTATTTATTGTTAATATGAACATATTTCATTGTCTCTGTTGAATCCATTCACAACGTTCTTAATTTGAGAGCTTGACATTTAGTGTGGACACTTGATTATTGGGGAAAACTGTATGTTGCCCTTTAGATGTGTTTTGTTCATTTTTGTAGTTGGGTTGCTGTCTAATCTATTATACCCCACAGCCCCTTTTTTACTTATTTTGATCTCTTAGACCTCATTCATTTTTTTGTATAAACTCCAATTTAATACATTAAATTCCCATTTATACATAATTCTCCAGATTAGAAAATACCCCACTTAAACAGAACTCTGTTAGAGTTTGTATGTTTGGTACTATGATGGACTTAGTCTTGTATGAAGATTTGTCTCATTGGCACTCATACCAAATCTTTTTATATTTATTAGCTTAATCATTGAATAAAAAACAACCAAAATATATCATCAATAAGATTAATTCCGTTTACGACTAAGGGCACCAGTATGTATGAGAGTGTGTGTACTGTCGCTTGTGGTCCTGAATAATCTTGGCAAACCAAACATATACCAAAACTACAATTACTAACTGTATATAACAAAGATAAGATATAAAACTAAACTATTTATTAAAACAAAAAACTAAAACTCACTAAGGACTAAAACATTTCATATAATATAAAAGACATAGTTAATAGTAAAACATTTACATATTAATACCTTGATGTAACATTTGCCTTTCTAGGGGGCTACTCATTTCAGTTTCTGACGAATAACATACACAAAATATATATTACTTATGCCTGTGGTAGAACTGAGCAGACAAAACATACAAAAAATATATATTACTTATGCCTGTGGTAGATCCGAGCAGACAAAACATACAAAAAATATATATTACTTATGCCTGTGGTAGATCCGAGCAGACAAAACATACAAAAAATATATATTACTTATGCCTGTGGTAGATCCGAGCAGACAAAACTAATTTCGAGAACCTGTGGTAGATCCTAGCAGGTGAATGTGAATAAAAATAGATTCTGCGGTAGATCCCAGCAGGTTAATGTGAATAAAAATAGATCCTGTGGTAGATGCCAGCAGGTTACCTAATGCGAATAACAATAGATCCTGCGGTAGATGCCAGCAGGTGTACAAATGTACTTAATAATTTTAAATATGTATAAATGAATTGGGGGAAAATAATTTCCCTGAAATTATGTTGGCCTGGTGTTCTTTATGGATAAGTGTTTTCTTAATTTCTTATTGTATGAAATAACAAGTAGCCCCAATTAAGACAGGTGCTGAAGGGGATGGCGGGTGGGTCAAATTAAATCTCAGAGAAACAAAATATGGCTGCTGAAACTGCAACAAGCTTTATAAAATGACCACTATCCCTTCAATATCTATAATGTGATTGGTCAAATCCTTATCTTATCTCTGTAGACAAAAATAACTTATCAAAGGTCTTGCTAATATTCAACAAATGATGGGACAGGGTAAAAGATGATGAGGACAGAACAAAAATGTATAAACTCCAATTTAATACATTAAATTCCCATTTATACATAATTCTCCAGATTAGAAAATACCCCACTTAAACAGAACTCTGTTAGAGTTTGTATGTTTGGTACTATGATGGACTTAGTCTTGTATGAAGATTTGTCTCATTGGCACTCATACCAAATCTTTTTATATTTATTAGCTTAATCATTGAATAAAAAACAACCAAAATATATCATCAATAAGATTAATTCCGTTTACGACTAAGGGCACCAGTATGTATGAGAGTGTGTGTACTGTCGCTTGTGGTCCTGAATAATCTTGGCAAACCAAACATATACCAAAACTACAATTACTAACTGTATATAACAAAGATAAGATATAAAACTAAACTATTTATTAAAACAAAAAACTAAAACTCACTAAGGACTAAAACATTTCATATAATATAAAAGACATAGTTAATAGTAAAACATTTACATATTAATACCTTGATGTAACATTTGCCTTTCTAGGGGGCTACTCATTACAGTTTCTGACGAATAACATACACAAAATATATATTACTTATGCCTGTGGTAGAACTGAGCAGACAAAACATACAAAAAATATATATTACTTATGCCTGTGGTAGATCCGAGCAGACAAAACATACAAAAAATATATATTACTTATGCCTGTGGTAGATCCGAGCAGACAAAACATACAAAAAATATATATTCCTTATGCCTGTGGTAGATCCGAGCAGACAAAACTAATTTTGAGAACCTGTGGTAGATCCTAGCAGGTGAATGTGAATAAAAATAGATTCTGCGGTAGATCCCAGTAGGTTAATGTGAATAAAAATTGATCCTGCGGTAGATGCCAGCAGGTTACCTAATGCGAATAACAATAGATCCTGCGGTAGATGCCAGCAGGTGTACAAATGTACTTAATAATTTTAAATATGTATAAATGAATTGGGGGAAAATAATTTCCCTGAAATTATGTTGGCCAAAATGAGCGAAATTAATGAGTGAAAGCCCCCAAGAAAAGATACATCAGATATGATAAAAAACAATGAATAATAGTACCTTTAAAAAAAATACAAATTATATATATATTTAACCTCACATTTATGTACAAACAATATGAAATGATGTATAAAATCTACTAAGAGAAATGTTCACTTAAAAACACATTTTATCTTGAGCTGCATGTATAGTTTTAGGGTTGGTTCTAATATAACGCATGTAACAATCAGATGACCATCTACCTAAAGTTTGAATAATGTGGTCTTCAATTCCTGCAGCAGCTGCAGATGTAGCTGCTCCTATTCTAAATGAATGCCCACAAAATTTATCATCTTTATACCCAAGTCTAAAAAGTAAATCTCGCAGAAAAGAAATAAAGCGATCCCTTGATAAGGGAGTATGGTCATAATCATCGTTAACAAACAAAGGCGACTGAGGCTTAGCTCCTGAATCAGTTCTGAATTTGATATATTTTCTCAAGGTAGCTACAGGGTGAAAAACATTGTTTTCAAAGATAGTAATATTTACACTTGCCTGAATGGATCACACTTAGAAGAATGTAAATGGAAAACTAAATTTTTTAGTGACACATCTAAAGAAATATCTTGAATTGAAACAATGGTATCCTTAGAAAAGTCTTTACTACGACAAGTAAATTCTCCACATCGGAGGAATCCAAAAAAGCTAAATTAAATGGGCTTTGTAGCATTAAATCAACCAATAGAGAAAATACCCCAGATCTTAACAAATTACATAGTTCTTTTAAAATCGAAGAAGTAATAGGCATTCGTTTAGGACGTATATTACACTGAGACTTTTTTAAACCTCTTAGAATGCACTGCAAACGAACAGTATTTGCTAGCGGGTCTGAATGACCCTGTTTTAAAAAATAGTGTCTTATACCTGCTAAATACAATTTAACAGTTGAATGTGCTAGTTTTAACGAATTTTTACAAAAGGCAACAAAAAAAATCAAACAATTTTCATCTATATATGGCAATGCATTTAAAAAACAGTCTTTTCCATTCATAACAATAAAGTTTTGAAAACATTTAACACCAGTCATATATGCCTGCTTTGTACTCTGACAAAGGCAGGCTTCCCATAATTCCTCAACTTGTTGAATCAACTCATCATTAACTGGGATGGCTTCAGGCAAGGTGTTGGTTCTTGATCTGCCAGTGGTTGTAGTAAGCGAAACTTCCTCATCTGATAACGAGAAATAGAGTCTGCTACAGTGTTTTCGACACCAGCAATATGTTGTGCATGAATGACGAAGTTATATAGAGCAGAAAGATAAGTTAGCTTCCTCATAAGTTTCATTATACTCTGGATTTTTTATCTTCCTTTGGAGATAATCTCTACGGTACTTAAATTGTCACAGTAAAATAATATACGTTTTCTACTCCAGTTGTGACCCCATAGAGCACAGGCCATCACTATAGGGTACAGTTCAAAGAAAGCCATAGACGTTTGTTCATTTAAAAGTTCTGGTGTAAATTCGCCTTGAAACCAACTTCCCTGATGGAATCCCCCGAACGATTTAGGTGTAGCATCTGTGTAAAGTTGGATATCTGCAGCTTTAATAATGTTGTCATTAATGAAAAAGGATATTCCATTCCAGTTTTTAAGGAATTGAGACCACATTGCCAAATCAGATCTGCAATTCTTAATATGTACATGGTGTGACAATTTTTTAACAGTAGTTGAAAGCTTAATCAAGTGAGACACAAATGATCTGCCTGGTAAAATAACTCTACTTGCAAAATTTAAGTGGCCTAGCAGACTTAAAAGTTCCCTTTTAGTACATGTATTGCGTTTAGAAAAAGATTCAATTGTTTTTTGAATTCTTGCAATTTTCTCTTTAGGCAAACATGCCTCCATATTTATAGTATCAAGAAAAATGCCCAAATATTCTAAAATGACACAAGGACCTTCAGTTTTCTTTGTTGACAAAGGAATACCCAAAGATGAAAACATTTTTAACACATTGCTCATAGTTAAATGAGCATTATCTGCTCTTGGTACAATAATTAAAAAATCATCTAACAAATGTAAAATATTTACAATACCATAGTTATTTCTAGCTATCCAGCAAACTGCCCTGGATAGTGTATCAAAAATTTTGGGACTTGATCTACACCCAAACACTAATCTCTTAAAAAAATAAAACTTTTTGTTCCACTGTATACCATGATGAGGCCATAATTCTGATTTAAGTGGGATAATTTTGAACGCATCGCTAATATCTGTTTTTAGAAGCTAACTTTTTCTACCTAACTGCTTAATAATATGAGTAGCATCATCAATAGGAACATACTGCAAAGAAAATTCTTCCTTATCTATCAGTTCATTTAGACTTGGATTGTCCTCATCCTCATGTGGTGCTGAAAGATCAACAATTAAGCGCTTTTTCTTACTATATTTATGTTCTGCTAAACCAATGGGGTTTATGCTATAGTTGCTAAAAGGAATATCATTAAAAGGTCCAATGAGGTATCCTTTCGACACTTCAGTTTCAAGTAATTCTGACACGCATATAGGATTTGTAGATGCTGACTTCAAATTTTTACAAATAATAGACTTTGATGGGAGAGTCTTTAACCCAGTGTGAAAACCATATCTTAACCCATTTATCAAATAATTTTTAAAAGCTGAGTCAGGATGTCTATATAACTCTTTTTCCAAAACATCTATATTTACAGGTGTAGAGACAGACATGTCATAATTTTGAGGTGTATCTAGTTTCTCCTCTGTGTGTGGGGCCCGATCTTTTGAGGCCCCTGGAACTCGTTTTTTGTCTGCTGGCAGTTGATTTTTGAATGATCTCCTTTACAAGCCAAACACACATGGGCATTTCTACAGCGTGGCAGTATACATCCCCTGTATCCATTGAAATTATTACAAATTTCTCCTCCAGAATGAAAAACCCTTTCTCTACCATATGTATCCTGGGAATCATCAATTTTATTTCTGGATGACCTTTGCGTGAGAGAACAAAATCCAGATGTGTGAAAGTTACTGCCGCAAACATTACAGGTGTTAGGCCTTATATTTGTGAATATATTACAGAATAATGTATTGTTTCTTATGGACCAATCAACTGCCATGTTATTGTAGCGTAAATGTGCAGCTGAATCGAGGGAAAAACGCTTATGGTATTCATAAAACCCATTGCCAGGGTATCGAGTAGCCATGTCTACAATGTCTCTCTCATACGTGTCGAGCTCACTCCTACGGTGGGGGAACGCGGAACACATAATGTTCTTGTAGATACCAAACGCTTGGATAAACTCCCCAATAGACAAAGATCTGTTAAGTCGTGGGCCAGGTTTTGTGTGGTAACTGGAAGTTTCATTCTTTTCTTCCCCGTCTGTTGTACCCATTCCCACATAATACGGGATAAGAAGAGAGGATAGGTTGATGTCCATACCTGTTATAATGCTTCTCCTTACTTGTGGTGTCACTGTTTCCACAAACGGCAAAGACTCGGCTGAATAGCCTCTTGGTGTTTGAACATAGCGATTGTTCCTAAGAGCTTGTTCTTCGCTACCCGCTGCAGCCGTTGGCAATGCGTTAGTTCTCAGAGCGGAGTAGGCTGTCTCCAGGTTGAAATTAAGACCATTGGCATTGTTTACTTCTTCACTTCTTTGACTTCCGGTTGAAGCGAAAGTAGGAATCCACGTGTTTCCGGTTCTCGCTGTTGTTGTCTCATCACGTGCTTCCACTGTTCTCTGGGTAATTAGAGTGTTGACTTGGCCAGTTAGTGTTGTCACATTTTGTTGCAAGGACTGCACTGTCGTAGACAGCCTTGAAACAATGTTTATTAAAGTTCTATTGTTTGTCTCCACAGATGCATCTTGGGATGCCGCACTTCCTAATAAGGCGTCGTGCACGTTGTCGTTGATGGTGGTGTCTGTGGCATAGGAATTCTGGGATCGCGCACTTCCCAATATGGTGTCAGCGTGGCCCTCGGTGTTTCTCCCCGCATCGGAAATAACATTTTCTCCAGACTCTCGTAAAAGCCTGACCAATGCCATCCTCCTCGATTTTTGAGGAATTCTAATCCCTCTTGCGTTAAGTTCTTGTCTTAATCTGATTAAAGTCCAGTTTTCAGGATTTTCCGGATCGTAATGCACTTGTGTCCTTGTCCTCGATCTATGAATTGGTCCCATGATGACGAATAACAGAGGTTTAAAATTAAAGCAGAATACAAATATAATCCAATTTAGAATCGTCTTAATGATAAATTGAAAGTTACAAACTCTGGAGAAAAACGATGCACTATCAAGACTATGAAGCACAAACTTAAAAAAGTACCTTTGTGGCTGATCCTGAATTGTTTAAAAACGTAAATCCGAATTACTGGAAACGAAACACTTATACTTAGTGAATGAATGTTAGTTTAAAATAAACATACGAATTCTGTATATATATAACTCCAAATAGCAAATAGAATAGAATATTCAAATTAAATCTCAGAGAAACAAAATATGGCTGCTGAAACTGCAACAAGCTATATAAAATGACCACCTATCCCTTCAATATCTATAATGTGATTGGTCAAATCCTTATCTTATCTCTGTAGACAAAAATAACTTATCAAAGGTCTTGCTAATATTAAACAAATGATGGGACAGGGTAAAAGATGATGAGGACAGAACAAAAATGTATAAACTCCAATTTAATACATTAAATTCCCATCAGTTAGTTGCAGTCTCATGGACATGTACCTCCATTTCTCTATTTATTAATATTTGTTTGTTTATTTCTAATTTCAGATAACGTGCTAGGATATTCAGTGATGGCTTGCATCATTTTTTTGTTGACATTATTAGTTGTAACAATGTGTTGTATCTACCAACGACAGAAAAAACAATACAGATATATGGAGTTACCTACAGACATGGCAGAGAGTTAAACATATCTGTTTATTCATTTAAAAGTGCAATTATTTCTTTATTTTAAGTTATGTAGATTAAAATATATAATGTGTAAGGTTTGATATATGGGACTGAATAGTGTTTTGGATTGAGATACTTATATCATAGAAACATATGTCTTCCTTCATTGTGTGGATATTGAAAATCTTACACTTGGATGAGTGCAAGACTTAAAATTTCAAAATGTAAGGGAAGCATTTCAACAAGTCTTTTTTTAAGGCATATCTTTGTTAAAAATGATTGTTATCTTTCCCTGTAGTGTCAAAGGTTTCACTGTTCTGAAGTCTTTCCAATGCTTAATTCTATTTCTCACCCATTCAATATTCAAACATGGCATGTACACGGTCTCTCTAAATAGGTTGGGTGCGTTACAAATATCTTGTACATAGCAACCACACTATTCATTATACTAACAGCAGAGTTACAACTAAATCTGTTGTAAAGAAGGTCTTCCTTTTTAAAATATCTAATCTGCTGATGAGATTCATAATTTAAATATTTTGATGTAAACAAAGTATGAGATTATTAGGATCTCCTGATCAAAATTTGTTCTTGTGACCTCATTAATATTGTATATTTGATTGGAACATTACTTCATCTTCATTGCAATTCCATTGTAAATTAAGGAAATAAGTAATTTACATTATAACATATCATGAATCGTATCAGATGTATTTCTCAACCGGAGAGCAGTTAGGCATAAACTATGGCGATTATACTATGAATTTCAAGGATCTCTAGAAAAAACATTTGATCTCTTGTCAAAGGCTATTTTCAGTACACCTTATTGCTATTTAGATCAATCCAGGAAAAACAGCTACTTAGACAACTTCCTGTTGAGGTCAAGCGGAACAAAACAAAGGTTATCAGCAATGAGCTGATGGAGGAAATAGTTTAAGAAGCAATTTTTAAAAGACAAAATAAAAATATTGAAAATGCTTTGTTTGATGTGTTTACTATGGTTTAAACATGTCACCATGAAAATTTTTATGCACAATACATTGTTTGAATAAGGCCCCAGATAGCTTCAACTGGTTTGAAAAGTTTTGTAATTTTAGAACTTATCTGCATATAAATAGCGATAAGGTGTATAAATCAGTTGAGAAATGGCTTGGCTCATAACATTCCTAGGAAACAGCTGCCATTTCAATACCCAAGATATCTCAATAATTAGATAAACTCTGAAACCAGCATTTCAAAATAAAATGGATTGAAATTTTAGTCATGCTGTTTTGTAGGAAATAGCTCAATGACTATATTTCATATTAGATTTATAATAAAAGTGCCATTATATACATTTCAATTAAAAATTCATGCTTTTATTCATAGTGATATTTGATATGTAAATATGTTTTATTTCATTTTGTTTGATAGAAATGGTGTTTATTTTCAGATTTTTTATTGTTATTGTTTACAAAGTGATAAATTTTCCCATATATTTTTCCTTTATTATTACAATAGATGCCTACTGAAAATGTTCAATAGCATATATGTTACACAAAGTTAGGAAAATAACATGTTGACATACTGTTATTTCATGCTTTGTACTAGACTCTATTTTTATCATGTTAGGTCACAAGATAATAATCTACATTGTATATGACGACATGACAACCCAGTCATTACTCCTATTTCTATCTCTCCAGTATTTGCTCTCACTCTTAAATTCAGTGGAGAAGCAGAAGATACAAATTTTAATAAATTAGTTGTTGTTTGCTTAAAAATTCGGTATAAATTTGGAAATCTTTGATTTAAACTGGATCACACCCAAAACCATCATTTAAAGATAATTTTTATTAAACATACTCTATCAATTGTAATTTTAACTATTCTTTATTGACTGAATTTCCCAGTTCCTACAATCCTTTCTACATGTACATTGTTATTTATGTTTTACACAGGTTCATGATGAAGGTATTTTCCTTCAAAATTAAGCCTGCCTTTTTCTAAAATTAGGCGGTGATAATTTTGTTGATCAAACTGTTAACATATTAATATATTTTTGTAAGTTTATTTTGCTGTGTTCAAATGTATTCTTGAAATATTTTTATATTTGAAAATTCCATTACTTTTATCATTCCATATACTGTGGAAACATTATTATTTGTGACACCAATTTTCAGGGATTTCATTGATATATGTTAACCAAGAATTGGAATATTCAATAAAGTAGAAAATCTCTATAGACTTGCATATAGACTTTGGCAAAACTATGAATTTAAATATCCATGATAATGCAATTTTCCCTTAATCCATGATATATTGGTATCCACAATAAACTAATGAATCCGCAGTAGATGAATGAAGATATTATACAATTATGACCCGTTGAAAAGGTGAATATCCAAAATTGTCAACCCTAAAAAATTATTTCCCTGAGGGCACAGCCCGAAGTGAAATAACTTTTTAGGGTTGACAATTTTGAATATTCATCGATTCTAAGGAGCCACAATTGTTTTATTATACCGAACTAACAGTGGAGGGGTCTTTTGAACCATTTAAAAAACGTTGTCTTACGGTAGTAAAAGATTGTCAAAACACTAATGTCAGGAAATTATTTTGTGTCAAAGAATATCTGGTATGTACAACAAAGGTAGACTCTTTCTGTAAAATATTGATGGCCCTGAAAAGGGCTGTTTACAAGAGATATCCTCGGCACTAGACTAATTTCCAATCCTTGTTTGATCTTGTTTCCTCGTTACTTGATGGGCTTTGTACCTGACTGTTGCCATTTTGTTTACAGGCGTCAATGTTGTCATTTTAATGGGAGATAACTCGTGCAAAAACCAAGGAGCTGAAAAGGTTATTGAGTGTCAATTTTTATAGATTATAACATGCCCTTTTCCATATTGGCCCTGGTATCATCCCGAGACTCCCATATCAGCCTGAGGCTTTAACCGAGGGCCAATATGGGTCGAGGGATGATACCAGGGCCAATATGGAAAACTGTTATAATCTATTTATCACATATTGAAGTTCTACAGAAAAGAGAAAAACGTTCAATTATAACTATTTGATTAACCACAACAGAAAAATCTAAAAAGATTTATCACATTTTCCATTAATTTTCAATAATTTACTGCGTATAAATTTATTGTAACATTCCCCTTATTTTTGAATATAGTAAAACAAAAAAAAGCGAGAATTTGGCATAACTTGGGCTAAATCGATAATATTTGGTTGGTCATTGTTACTAGTGGCCATTGTATCATAATTCTCATAATTTTCAATACAAACACCATCATTGTTTGCCATTGTCGTTAAGGAAGCAATGACGTCACGTCATTTGGAATCGGGGCACAATAACCAATAACCACTTTTTTGCCCGGGGCAGCAATATGAGTAGGACAATTGTGCGGTTATTACATATGCAAAACCCAATGTTTTCGTAACAAATATGTGATAATTAGGGTTATTCGTCCTTCCTTCTTTGCATTTAAATGAAAATTAACTGAATTATTCAATGTCACATGATAATGTATTAATCAATAGAATTATTTATAATATATGTAAGGTATAATAATAAAGCTGTTTTTTTTTCTGTATAAAATCAAGGTTTTATGCTGCAGTATACGTTATGCTTTAATTTTCATTCATTACTCTATTATAAAGCATGCAAACTATGTTTGAAGATTTTATTTTGCAAAACTATACCATTGTAAAAAACTTTTTAAGAATGTTATTTAATCCTGTCATATTATATGTAAACTCAGTAGTTACTGGTGTCCATATTTTATTATATTTTCATTCTCATATATTCTTTCTGTAGCTTTTAATGTACTTTGGGGTTGTTATGTATATATATATATATATATATATATACTAAAAGCCAACATATCATAATTGAAGCCCTGGAGGTCCCTTTTTGAATAAAAATACAAAGATGTTCTTTTGATGCATTCTTCAAACATTCTACATGTACTTTACCAGTCTGGTCTCATGTCTACCTTTTCAATTCAGTTCAATTGGGGTCAAAATCAAATCTGAGATCTACATGTGTTCACACAAGACCAAAATCAAAAGAAATTTGTTAAAATTGCATTAGTTTTTTATAACCTAAATCATAGGGTTGTAGAAATTTACCATCCAGACTGTAAATTTCAATTTTTTTTTGTTAAGAAGCATGGAATTTTGAAGTATCAAAATCTAAAAATTTCTGGAAATATTGTGAAGGCATGTCACAAGAAGTCAATGAATGGCTTACTTTCTAATCAAACCTGACAGTTTAAGAACTTTAATATTAAATGGAAATACATGTAGGGGTTGTATTTATATTGAAACTGAGTATATATTTAAATCAAAGTTGGTGGAGGATTGATGTCAGTGAGATGTATTGTCCTGAAAATGCATGAAATATTTGCCTCTGGATGTTAAACAAACATCAATCAGTCAATGAGATGTACAACAAATCTAGCATTAGAAAATTCTACATTTCTTTCTAAATTGCATGATAAATCATCCTATTTCTAAATTAATTGCTCAATAAATTGTAAAAGCACTTTTATGCTTCATTGCTAAATAGAAATTTTATATTCAAGTTGAATTCTCATGCATAGTGAACTAAATGAGACATTGATTGATTGATTGGTGTTTAATGCCACTTTCAGCACTATTGTTCTATTTTGTGGTAGTAAGTTTTTATTGGTGGAGGAAGCCAGAGTGCCAAGAGAAATAGAAATATAAACTGAATTGACTGCTGCTTATGATAAACCTGTCCCTCTTTTCTAAGCCTTTAAAGTCCAAGAGCTCCAACAACAAATTTTACCATATTAAAAAAATCAAAGAAGGAAGCATTTTTAGAGGGTAAAATTCCTCAGATTAGTTTTTAAAAATCTCTGTTTTTTGGTTTTGTTGGGTTTCTGTGTAATTGACCTATACACTTCATCTCTTTTTCTTTACTCACCCAAACGACCAAAAGTATGTTGTTGATGGGCCTGTAGTAAAAAGGACCAAATGGAGAAATAGAAAATGAAATGGGGAAAGAAAATAATCCCATGTTGCTGTTTTTGTCTCGCCTTGACATAGTCTAAAATCAAGACATAGGTATGCTATTTCCGGCGACGGTGGCAGCGTTTGTGATAATGCCAGTTATTGAGGAACCACTAGTGGTAGGTCAATGATATTTGGTATGCAGTTATATAATCAATTGGTACATCTCATTTCCATGGATATTATTTGGCCCCACCCCCTCTGTCGTTGTCTATTGACTTTAAAACTTTTGCTTAGTTTACATGTATTAGTTTGTGATTAGGTCAGTTTATAGGGAACCACTAGTGGTAGGTCAATGATTTTTTGTATTCAGTTGTATTAGCATTGGCACATTTCATTTCAATGGAGATTATTTGGCCCCGCCCCCTCAGTTGTGGTCTATTGACTTTGAAAGTTTTGCTTAGTTTTGGTATTAGTTTGTAATTAGGTTATTTGGGAACCACTAGTGGTTTTTCAATGATATTTGGTAGTCATATGTATTAGCATTGGCACATCACAGATTGTTTGGTCCTGTACCTTAGGTCAAGGTTCATTGACTTTGAATATTTTGTATAACTTACATTGTTAAAGTATTGGCTGTTTCAATTTCAACATTTGCATTTAACTATCAAAATAACAAAAAGGTTAGACATATCTTCTGTGTTAACAACAGAAATAAAAATCTCTTTTCAAGTTGGATTTTTGAAGTGAAGATTATAATAATTATTTTTGTGACTCCTTTTAGAAAGATCTAGATTATTTTCAGAGAGTATTCTATCTAAATATTTGAAGATAATCTCGTGTGTGTTTTTTTAGGGCTGATATGAAGTTAAGCCATAAGTTTGATAGAATGTACCAAGTTAAGTATGAAGAAAACTGTGTTTTGAAAGACTTTTAAAATACTCTTTATTTGTACATGCAATAATTTATTGTTCATGTTTTACTTAATAAAAATTGTTCTCTTTTTGTTATTCTTGAAAGATTCTTATTAGTTATTAATGCCATAAGTTCAATCAAACGACAAAGGGGTGAAATTTGTCAACTTGAAATGTTAATAACGTGTTTCAGTTGGTTATTCAATCTGTTTTTGGAAAATGACGCTATCAGCGGCATGTTTCCGATACAATTGACCAGAACTTACGGAAGTCGATTATTGCCTCCGCCTACCGCACTCGGTTTCATATTTACTATTTTACATACAAACTGGAATCTGCTTGTATTACGCTACACTCGAACAAAGTGTTGTAGTCGGACGGGAACCAGTTTACATACTTTATTTTATTTACCAAAAAGATATCTTGACCTGTCCATATGTTTTTTGTTATTAAATGGTATTTGGAGCTACCCCTTTGTTATATTTTTCATATTTATTCGAGCTTTCACTTTTATGCACATGTCTTACAATCGTAAACAATCGGTATGTATACATGATAAATAGATCCGTTTTGTTATGGTGTTGGACTTTTTACCCTCCAATGATCAGCAATCGCTAGAAAAAATAGTTCTCCTAAATAATGTCAGCCTTTCATGCCATTTCAACTTTACAATCATTAAAAAAAGTGAAAATCGGAATCATTTTGATATCCATTGGATAGAAACTGGTCTTTATCCAGATTTACGA